GTTGTTGGGGAAAGGAGGAAGAGAAACAATTGTTTATTATTTGGAAACCGAGTAATCACAAACTCTTAAGAAAGGTCCTGTTAAATTTCCAAGTTGATAAGACAATATAAATTCTGAAGAGGGCATGTTTGTTTTTCAATCCAACGGCGGAGGAGGAGGAGGGCGTCAGGTAGCAACAGCTGGCGGAGGAGGAGGAGGGCGTCAGGTAGCAACAGCTGACGCTCCATTTTTCACGTCGAATCACTATAATTCACATAATATACATATACATACATATATATTCTTGTTGTTGATGATGAGTTTCTTCTATTCACTCGGTGGACCTAAGTATGTGTTCATGGAGGGAGGAAGGGAGGGTCTTAGTGAATTATGAGAAGCACGCTTTTGATGGGGCCTTCTCATCTTTCTCCAGCCCTCCATTAAAAAGTGGACCTAAGTATGTGTTCATGGAGGGAGGAAGGGAGGGTCTTAGTGAATTATGAGAAGCACGCTTTTGATGGGGCCTTCTCATCTTTCTCCAGCCCTCCATTTTCACGGCTGCTGCAGCAAAACATGTTCAAATGTCTGCCAGGAATCAAATTACTGAAATATCCCCTTCATTCACTTGGGTCAGTTTTGATACCATGCAACTGCAATCCATCATGTATGATGTGGAATTCTGCACTTCAAAGTTCAAACTGAATATTTTACGAGAATAATTAGTGATTATGCCACATTAGCTATAGTTGGTTTAGCTGACGTGGAGAGAGTTTTTTCTTTTTTAGGAAATTTCATTTTAATCATAGGTAAATATGACTTTTAGATTAAAACCATCAAAATCTAATTTTAGTCTCTAGATACATTAATCACCTCATTTATTAATTACATTTTGATGTTTTAATTATTTCTCTTTTTCTTCCTAATTTTAATGTATTAATTTTTCATTTCATTCATTGTAATATATTTTGTTGTAAATATTTAGATAAACTAATTTGAGTTATACAATGTATTTCGATATACTTGGTCTTCTTCATTTAGGTACATTAAATTCTTTATAATACATTTCGGTGCATATATTTAGGTACACACATTTTGGTATATACATTCCGATACAAACATTTAGGTACATACATTCCCTTTTTTTTTTTTTACAGTTGTATGTGATTATAGAGAGAATGAGGTTAACTAGATAATCATGTACAAATTTCAAGCGCTAACCACTAAAACTATATTGGCATCGTGTATTTTTCTTTCCTTTTGTTCCTGTTTTAGGCAAGTGATCATCTACCACAGTGATAGAGAAGAGTGTTACTTTTGCACCACGGTGTGAGTTCGAATCCAGTCGGCTCCCTAACTAACATCTAATATAGCAAATCTATCGTTTGACAAAACAAAAAATTAAGGGGAATGGTTTTCACACAATCATTGACAAAACAAAAAATTAAGGGGAATGGTTTTCACACAATCATTCTCTTTCTTTGGACATCTGTGTTTGTTCTAATTTTTTTTAACAAACAATATATAGTATCCAAACTAAAGGAATGAGGGAGTAGACTAGGCCTTACAATGGACTTGTCATAATAATATGATTTAACTTTACCTTTGGTGAGAATCAAACTTAAAACAAAATAAACAATTACATGTACAGTGTAGAAGGAGAAAATGAGCGCGAAAAGCACTTAATAAACAAAGTATAGTTGATGTGACATTATTACCAACTATTAGGACAAAAGTTTAAAACAGACGCGCGAAAACTCTTCACCATTCTCAATTCTTGGGATGAATCTGTATTTTCATTTTGTTCAAATACTCTTATGGCGCAAATAAACTCTCATGTTAGCGTTCCATTCCAATAATACAAGGATACATAGTATTAATTTCTCTTCACATGTTCTTGTATTATTAATGCAAGACACAATTGTGACAGCGTTCTCGTGCCAGAGGTTCTCTTATTTGGTTGAAGTGGAAGCCTGGATATTTCCTTTTCCTTGTTGACTAGAACTTTGGTTCGTTCTTTTTCTGTGGGATGAGTAATATCTTAGTCAGTCTCGCAAAACAGTAGTGTTGTACCAATTAGTTGGAAGTATGTGGGACTCAAAGCTTAAAGATAACGTACCATGCGCAACTACTTTAATGTATACATTTGTGACTAAGCGTTAGAGTCATAGAAAAAGAATAGGCAGATATAGACTGCTCCCATAATCCACACACCCCACCACTATTTAGAGAGAGAGAGAGAGAGGAATTATTGAAGGAGGTGGGGGAGTCAGATGAGAGAATGTGCCAATGTGGGGGAAAAAACAAAGGAAACAAAAGCAAGACTTATTATTAGGTTGTGTGAGCGAGGGAGGACAGCTGTTGAAGGGCCCAAAGAGACGGGAGATTTTTCAGTGTATTTGGAACGTGAGACAGTACATTACATGTTATTATATAATTGGTAGAAAATATTTTTTTTTCAAGTATCTCTCTAATTGTACAATAACATGTGATGTACCACTTTGTGTTTCGGGTAGATTGAAAAATCTCTCTAATGAGTCATCTTGTCATATTTACATTCTCGGGTTTGGCTATGGTATATGATTTTACTCAATATATTAGCATTCATATATGATTATATATAAATTATTTTATATTTGAGTTGCAAGTTTAACCGTTAGATGACAAATGTATTAAGTAAATGTATATACGTAACAATCTTCTCGTGCCTCTTTTAAAAATTAACTAGTGTGGAGAACACTTCTTAACTCTTAAGCCTCCTCCTATGGTCCTATATAATTACTAGATTGTATGTAGGGGTGGGCACTTGAAACCAAAAAACCGAAATCGAAACACGAACCAAATCGAACCGCACCGAACGATTTGGTTTTGTGGTTTTGGAACGGTTTTGGTTTTGAAACCGAACCGCAACATAGAAAACGGTTTGGTTTTGGTTTTGGCTTTTGAAAACCGCACCGAAACCGAACCGCACCGCAAATATTAATAAACATTTAATTAAATGTCCATATTAAATTTCATGTTTTAATTGGTTGTTTGTTAGAATCCATGCACTTAGTATGGACACAACCACACTAGAATATCATCATTCATCACTTTCTTTCGTTCATTAAGTTGAAGGACCTTTGTTATTTTATACCATCACATACACACACACACACATATATGTACAAGGGTGGACTAATCTTGTTATCAAGAGTCGAACAATGATCTAATGAAGTGCACTCATTTGAAGCATGATATCACATATTCTAGTATGAAAGTTTCGCTCATGTTTAATGAATTCAAAGTTATTCAACTTGTTTTATGTTATACCTTGTACGGGACACCTTTTAGTTGCACAAACATATTTTAACATAACAACTGCATGCAACATGCTAATTGTTTATATAATAACAAATGTCTTTTTCCTATTGCTACTGGGAAATGCTTATTAATATGTTAAATTGCAAATTGTATATTTTTTCTTAAAAACCAAACCAAAACCGTTTGAAACCGCACCGAACCGAACCAAACGGTTTGGTTTCATTTCGGTTTTGGCTTCAAAACCGCACCGAACCGTTAAAAGTGTTTTTTAATAACTAAAAGTGTTTTTTTTTTATTTTGTTGAAAAACTGAATTTCTAGCCAAAAGTGCTCAAGAGTAGAAGTATTTCCTACATAAGCACTCCAAATCGGGCTTTAAGTACTTCTTGGAGCGCTTCTTGGCAGGGCCGGTCCAGAGATTTTTGAGGCCCGGGGTGACGTAAAAAATGTGCCCTCATTTCATATAAAAAAATATTTGTTTTCACGCGTAAGACATCGATAAAATTATATTTAGAAAAACACTTCAAACTCAATAATTTTAAAACATGAAATAATTTATTTATTTTGTATCAAGAGAAGGAAACTAAAACACTTCGGACGTATAAGTAGATGGATTATGAGTTTTGTTTTCCATCTGAACTTTTAAAGTGTTTTTGTATAAATCGTGAGTTATTTTTTTCTTATTTACTAACCTCATCAATATAAGACTAAAAAAATATTGATATTTTTGAGTCTTTAAGGATATGTATAAGTAATGAATGAATACTAAATTAAACCTTAGGATCTCTCGTTAATTTTAAACAACAAAAACCATTGGTTCTAATTAAACTTCTTGATCATTTAGCCAAATTTTATAAATTTATACTTTATGAAAAGAAATTTGTAAAAATTGGAATGTAAATAAGCACACATGGTTGTTTGAACAAAACCACCAGTTCTAATTAAATTTCTTTGTCATTAAACCAAATTTTATAAATTTATACTCTTATAAAACATATATAAATATTTCACCTTAACAATTTTGGTGCCCCCAATTTTTTTGGGCCTCGAACAGTCGCCGTGCCTGCACTGGGTCTGGGCCGGGCCTGCTTCTTGGAGTAGTGCATTATGGGTGCTCCTCCAAAAAGTGTTTTCACAATACTTTCAATTTTTTGTGTCAAATATTTATACTATCTATTAATAAAATTTTATTTGTCAACCAAAAACTAAAGAAAAACTAATAGAGCGATGTTTGATCCAATCCTATTCGTGTTGGTTAGACTGCTCTTATTTTGGTTTTAATAGCTTATGTGGACCGCTCTTTCTATCGTTATCAATAAAGGGCCCCTATTAGTAAAGTTTATGGGTTGCTAGCTATCGAGCTTCCCGTTCCCTTGTGTCATGATGATTTTTTCCCTAGTATACCTTCCATGCATAATTGAAAGAAATAAATATCAAGAAAACAAATTAGGGACATTAAAGTAATTTAACAAAAAAAAAATCCCCACGTTTTAAGAAGAGAAAGATAACTTTCCCCCACCACTTGTTCATCATGTTAACTTGTCGCTCTTAGTTTCTCACACACAGTGTGTGGGCCCAGTGCTAGTTGTTAAACTTAAAACTTCGGCTGGGCCTAAAATTGGGTCATCAGCCAGTGGACTCCGTTGGACCTAAAACGTGGGCCTGAATAGCGGATCGAGTAGAGCACCGACTTCCACCATTTCCGCTGTCAAAACCTCCTGAGTCGCCGCCTGTCAGCCTTACAGCGTACCATCTTCCCAACTGAAGCCCATTATCCTCCCTCTGAACTCAACAGCTCTCAACTATAAAATCCTCTCTCTCTCTCTCTCTCTCTATCTGTGCAAAAAGGTGAAGATCCTGCAATAGTACTTCTGAACGCTAGATTTTCTTGATTTGAATCCAATTTCTCTGCCTCTCGGTGGATGTGTTGTTGGAATTGAGCAAATGGGCAAGTGGATTCATCGTCCCCGCCGTAGATTCTGCCGTCAGGAAAAGCTTCCGGACCCGTCGCCTCTGCCATTTCACCCCCAACCTCCTCCTCCTTCTGGTAAAATTAATTTTCTTTTTTTGTTTTTTTTGTGTGTATCTTATGATTAAATTTGAATTGGGTTCTTCTTAAATTGTTGGTTTTTGTGGGTTTTTCTTGGTGGGTTTTTATCGTTCAATTTTTACCCCTTTTTCCCAGTAATGAAACAGTGATTTTTGTTTGGTTGCCGAGAAAATATCGAGTTATGAGAACATTGATGTTTTTGATTGTTTATTTGTTCAACTGAGAAAATTATTGAAAATGTATGGTGGGTTTGATAACATTGGAGGGCAATGCTAGAAAGAACTTATTATATGACACTCGTTTGGATTAAAGACCGGTAATTGGATACAGATTCTACATTATACTCTAAATTTTACTGGGCTCCTGTGTAGTAATATGTGTTATGTGCTGTTTCGAAAGGCGGCTATTTCATTTCTAGATCTTTGTTATCTGTGGATACAAATTTTCGTTATTTGAGTTGTGGTAGGCTTTTCGGTTCCATTAATAGTTCATTGTGAAGAAAAGAAGAAACCATAACATAACTAGTTCTGTCTCGTGTGTTTTAAGGTTTCTATATAAACTGCTTAGATTCTTGAAATTGTTCAATTAGTTTTTTTCTTATCGTCTGCTTCTTAGCATTAGTTTAAAGTTGTTAGAGATTTGTGTGCTCTACTTTCCGTTTTCCTTTTCCCTTTTCTTTGTGGTTGGTCATGCGGCATAGGACATATTGCGCATTAATTCTGTATGTCTTAATAATTTCGTCATTGCAAGATTAATTCCTTTTCATGCAATGCCCTCAACTTATGTTGGAGTTCTGGCAGCACCAATGGCGTTGGATATTACTTGAATCTTAATACTTTTTTTATTTTTTCATTCATAGGGAGTCGGCAGGATGGTGTACCTTATTGGGAAAAGCAGTACTGCACGTTGGTGGGGTCTATACCATGGTGGAAGGTAGTAGATGCAAAGAATTATATGTATGGAAGCAGTATGGTACTCAATTGGAATGACTCAGGTGCAGAGGAGGCATTTCAAAGTGCAAAAAAGCGATTTTGGGCAGACATCAATGGTCTCCCCTTTGACGCATCTCTGCCTGATCCAAATATTTATATTGATGCAATAGATTGGAACCCTAACATCGATCCTGCACTCATTAAGGAAGTGGATCGAGAGTACTTTGCTCCTGATGAGGGAGAAGGGGAAGGCAAGATTGGGCAAACAAACAAGAAGGCAAAATATTCAGATTTTGTTCCTCCCGATGAACATAACACTGTCCCTGATACTCATACAAATTCTTGGGAATGTGACAACATTCAGGATAGTGGACATTTGATAAATAAAGCTCCGGGCAGGAACCAGTGGAAAACTAATCGTGACGACCCTTGGGAACGTGGAATTACTCAGGGCAATGGAACTACTGAGACGGAGAAGAATGCATGGGAAGATAGAAGGAATGAGTCGCGGGGATGGAACCAGATGGAAGACAGTATCACTGCGCCAAAGAGTTGGGATAATGGTGTCAATCCTTGGGAAGGAGGCTGTCAGGATGTTGCCTCTGTGAAAGGTAGTAGATGGGCTGATCCGGTATCTAATTCTTGGGGCTGCAACCAGGAGTCAAAGAACTTGGGTCGTGGTGAAAATTCTTGGAAGTATGGTCTTAGTCAAAACAGAAAATCTCTAAAAGATAGAGAATGGAGAGATCGTGGAGGAGATGAATGGGGTCAGAAACAGTGGGAGAGCCATAATAACCAGAAAAATAATTTGGATTTTGGGATAACAAATAGTGGTCGGGGAGCAAGGAACGATGGTGGCCATAAGAGGGGACACCCTCACCAGTACAGATCAGGCTATAAAAGCTCAAGATTGCAAGGGAGTGATTATCAAACAGGTAACTACTGGAGCAGGGAAAATAACAGAAAGAGGGTCAGTTTCGCCTAAGAGTAGCGGGTGATAAAAAACAAGGGGTTGCTTTTTGTTCGTGTGTTTTGAATCACCAGCTGGTCATAATAGAAGCAGATATGCAGGCATGTTCTACATATTATATGTATGTCATTTCTGTTATCTCATCTGCGACAGGAAACGGGTAATTATGTTCTTCCACAGAATGCAATTCGATGGATCTTCCGACCTTCCCGGTTTGTAAACAGAATATATCCGATCAATCTATCGTGTTGAGGGTTTTGAATTTTGATAATTACTCTCAACTTTTGCAGCATGTATCATTGTAAAATTCTTTGAATGTTATATTATCAGGCCGTTGCCCTGCAGCTACTTTCCCAGAAAGAAGTGAGATACGTGTAGTGTTTGCTGGATAAGCTCACAATACTAAATTGACTGGCAAAGTTTATAAATTTCTTGATTGGATATTGGTGTGTTTGATTTTCTGCTTTTGAATGCTTGTTCTGTTTTCTGCTTTGTTTAAAAGCAGCTTTCCGATTACAGCATCACACAAGTGGTAACCGGACATATGGTATCGCTTTGTTCAAAAGCAGCATTCTGCTTATAGCATCACGCGAGTGGTAACCGAACATATGGTATCGCTTACCGTCCTGATGCGCAAACGGTACCATATGTTCTGGCTTTGAACGAGAGCAACACCATATGTTAGGGAATCCGGGTCACATAGAAATTGGAATCTCAGAGACAACCCATCTTCTTCCTTAAATTTGAAAAGAACCTAAAATAATACGAGACAATAAACCTATTTACCATAGCATACAAGTAGTTCCTCGATAATATTTTTTATTTTATAGAAACCAGTTGTAACTTGGATCCTCAATTAGGGGTGGGCATAAAAACCGGAAAACTGAATCGAATCGTGACAAAAAAAAACCTGTAAAAGACTGCATTGACCAAAAAAGTCAAAATTGGAACAAAAATCGAACTGAACCGTTTCAAACGGTTCCAGTTTGGAAATATTAAAACCGAAAGGACCGCACCGAACCGCTTTTAATATAACTTATTGTTTTATTATTATTTTTATATAAAAAAGATATTTTTTCAAGAAGATCATGTGCATAAGCCCAATATTTTTCTTCACTTCTCTTCCCCTCCTTTGTTGTTTTATCACTTTTCCTCCCTACATTATTTTTCTCCATTCTTTTCCAGTATATTATGCATTATGTACATTTTAGTTTTAGTTTAAGATCTACACTTTGGTCTTGATATGAGCCCTTCTATATTTTGATTTATATTTGTATGCACACTTTCTATCTTTCAGTCACAAATCTTGTAGATCTAGTAGTGAACACTCAAATTTATTTGAATTTGTAGTTGAAATATGTGTTTGGTATTAGAACTAGAAAATTAGAAAAAACATATATATAATTTTGGTTAGAACCATAAACCGACATGAACCGAACCAGAATCATTATGAACTGAACTGTACGGTTTTAGTAATAAATTTAAACAGAACCGCACCGAACCAAATCGTTGAAATTTTCCGATTCCGATTCCATTTTGAGGGTGGAACTGGACCGAACCCCACCCCTAACCTCAATAGTAACAAATTTTGAAAATGCCACCTCAGTCCCTACCACCTAAATTCCAAAACTTCACCTTCTTCCACTGCCACCGCAAGCCCGCACAAAACCGCCCCACCGTCCGCGGTTCTCCAACCGCGTTTCTCACCCGAATCCCAAACACCCCACCACCGCCCCTCAATCCCAACCCTTCGATCTCTCCAAGTGGGACCCACACCTGCCCCATTCCTTGCCCTCCACTTCTTCGCCCAACCCCGACGACACGACCCTCCTCTCGTTCCTCTCCCCCATCGCCCGCTTCATACTCGATGCTTTCCGCAAGAACCGGAACCACTGGGGCTCTCCAGTCGTCTCGGAGCTCCGGAAGCTCCGCCGGGTCACACCCGACCTCGTTGCCGAGGTGCTCAAGGTCCAGGACGACCCCGTTTCAGCCTCCAAGTTCTTCCCCTGGGCAGGTTGGCAAAAGGGTTTCAAGCACACTTATGCTTCATACAATGCCTTGGCTTATTGCCTCAACCGATCTAACCGGTTCTGGTCGGCGGACCAAGTCGCCGAGCTGATGGACTCGCAGGGCAAACCGCCCAGCGAGAAACAGTTTGAGATTCTCATCAGAATGCACTCTGATGCTAATAGAGGTCTTAGGGTTTATTATGTGTATGAAAAAATGAAGAAATTTGCGGTTAAACCTAGGGTTTTCTTGTACAATAGGATCATGGATGCGTTGGCGAAAACGGGTTATTTGGATTTGGCGTTATTCGTTTACGAAGATTTTCGTGGTGATGGATTGGTGGAGGAGAGTGTTACTTTCATGATCTTAATAAAGAGTATGTGTAAAATGGGAAGAATTGATGAAATGTTGCAGCTTTTGGAGAGAATGAGGGCGAATTTGTGCAAACCGGACGTGTTTGCATACACGGCAATGATTAAGGTTTTGCTTTCGGAGGGAAACTTGGATGGGTGTTTGAGGGTTTGGGAGGAAATGAAGAGAGAGAGGGTTGAGGCAGACGCTATGGCATATGTAACTCTGGTTACAGGGTTGTGTACGGGTGGAAGGGTGGAGAAAGGGTACGAGTTGTTTAGGGAAATGAAGGCAAAGGGTTTCTTGATTGATAGAGCAATTTATGGGGTGTTGGTTGAGGGGTTTGTGGCAGACAAGAAGGTTGGGGTGGCGTGTGATTTGTTGAAGGATTTGGTGGATTCGGGGTATAGGGCAGATTTGGGGATATATAATTCTCCTATCGAGGGTTTATGTAATGTGAAGAGGGTTGATAAGGCTTATAAGATTTTCCGAGTAACAGTTCAAGAGGGTCTTCAGCCAGAATTCGCTACGGTGAATCCCATTTTGGTGTTCTACGTTGAGACAAGAAGAATGGATAAGTTATGCGAGATGCTTGCACAGATGGAGAAATTTGGTTTTCCTGTTATTGATGATCTTTCGAAATTCTTCTCCTTTACGAAAAAAAGTTGAAAGCAAAGGGTTCTAAGCTGCTGTCAGGATGAAACTATAAACTATAAAGGCAGGAACTGAAATCACTGGTTATCTCGGACTTTCCTTCTGTTGCAATTTGCTTATCATGCGTGGATTGTATCAGAGTGGTGAGAACACTCCATTTAGGATGCATCCATGGAGGAAGTACACTGGTTTTTTTTTTTTTTTGTGAGGCATTTTGTTAGCTGTCATTGCCATTGATGTTTCGCAATACTGTTACAGTTTATGTTCAGTTGATTTGTTTTAGTGAACTGATTCTTGCTTGTTCTGCTTTTAGTTCGGCATCTTTTGGGATTAGAGATCAAATACAAAGAAGTGTTCACGTTAGCTTCAAGTTATTGCCAACAATGCAAATCCCAAATGGCGGAGATGATGGGTTGAAAAGTTTTCAGTAGCAGAGAGCCCTGCATGTAGTTTTTGATGGGCTATGTTTACTTCGAAACTTCATCCGTGTATAAGTGGTGATGCATCTTTCTATTCTGTCAATCATATTATTGTTACTATTTTTTTTTTTATCAGAAAGTCTAGGACTCAAATTATTATGCAACCACAGAAAGAAAAATCTGTTTTTTAACCTACTTCAGCTACAAGATCGTAGAAATGCATACAGCTAAATAGTAGGCGAGGCTAGTGAACTCTTATGGAAGCTAGATTTTTTGGTTTGGCAGGTTGTCATTCGGGTTGCTCAGCAAGTGTATTTCTCACCAGTATGATTCTTCTGAATGTGGTTAGCCTGCTTTGTTTGTTTCTCTACAACTTTATCGCCTGTGGTCTCCTTGTGATTTGGAGGTTCAGTCTTCAGTGTACAATTTGGCTCAGAGACCCTGGTTGAGACTCTGTTTGTTGGCTTGCTGGTCGTTCAGTTTGGTCGTTGCTTGTAAACTAACGCAAGTATCGTTTCCTAGTGGGAGATAAACAACTCTTCTGGTGCTAAAGACGCAGCATATACAAATTCATCTGTGAGGTAAAGAAGAGAAGCAGTTCCAGATTGCAGGAGCGAGGTACCCTGAATTTTTTAATGACCGGTCGAAGATTCCAGATATATAATGTTCATAATCTGTCCAGAGAAATTGTGACTGCAATTGAATTGCTAATTTCATGTATTCGATCGTATCCTTGCATAAATGCATTGATTTGAATTAGGGCCGTCGTCTAAAATTGAGAAGAGAAGTACCACTAGACCAACAACCATCTTACGTGAATATGAAAGGATTATTTCTTTACAATCCCATTTGGCAAACAAAAGGCATTCATATTGGAAACACTAATAGCAAAATGTTCTCTGCCTGTTGTACAACTGATGTATGTTCATTCCATATTTCTTTTTCTACACACAAAATACACTGCGCACGCATTCACGGGGATCACCTTCGAACTCGCCTTTCGCTCTTATTCTCAAGGAAGAGAAGGTGTTGTTCTCAAAAGCTCTTGACACAACGTACTAACGTTAACATCCATTTGACATACAAAATTGTCCATAAAATGATAACATTGACAGAATCGGAATGCACGGCCGCAGGCTGATCTAAGTACAAAACTGAAGCTTTACCGAGCAAGAAAATGAGGCTTAGACTTCCCTCTTGGGCCGGTTGCGAGTACCGGAAAGCGCAGGCTTTTCTTCTATCGACTTGTCAGGTTCGCCTTCCTCATCCGTTTCCCGGATCGCTTGGTTAATTGCCATCTACATCAAGAACACAAACACTATGACTACTGAAGAAATCATTAATCCATAACAAAGCAAGACAGATTGAGCTCTTTTGGGATTGCTAGTGTAGGAAGCACTTCTGCTCATAAATATATCCAAAAAAATATATATGAAAAATCCTCGTACTTTTGTTCCTTGAAAAGCACTACCTGCTCTAGAAAGCGCTTCTACTGCCACACACGCAGTCAGAAGCATTTTTTATTGTCGGAAAGCACTTGACTCTTCCGAGTTAATTCATATGCTATATGAATGCAATAACAGCATTTATTAGGCGCGCACACTCACATATATATACATTGGCAACCTTGTTCATTTCAATCACCACATGAATTCAAATATTCAAAAGCATTAAACAGCATGCAAATAAAAAAACCGAGTTGCAGAAATTCGACGAACCTCTTCAAGAAAGTCTCGGTCGAGCTTATCGGCGACTCTGATGGAAGTGAAAACGGTGACGGCGATCAGAGAGAGCGGCAAAACGAATGCAAACACGTACTGGCTCGTGGTGGGCCCCGCACCTGTCACCACCTCTAGGCCTCTGGTTTGCCGGCCGGGATACCGTGACGCCGGCGATATGTTCACGTGCGGAGGGATGAATGAACCACGTGAGGGTGGGGCGGGTGGAGGAGGAGAGAGAGTAAGTGAGGCTGTGTTGGAGATGAGAAGCCTTGCCATGATAACAGCTGAGCCCTTCCGCTCGTAGTGGATAATGTTATCACCGATTCATCTTGCTTTTTTATAAAATAACTGTAAGTGTGCTAGTAAACTTAGCTACTCAATCAATGAGGAGGAGTTCTTGGTCAAAGTTTTTTTGTGGCTAATTCACGAAAATTTGTGTTTATGATATGTTCATATTACATATCATTTTGTAAAGATCATTTCTACAAAAATTTAATAGATATGAGATCATTTTGTCATCAAGTTGTATAAAACAGATGATCGGATTCAGTAAATGTATTGTTAGCCGTCTATCTATTTGTTATAGTTAATTAACTAAACCACCTTATTTTAATTGATTTTTTTAGAGACAATCTCTACATAACGATTTATAATATTAAAAGTTTCCATCATAAAGAATGAAATTTTGTAAATCAGCCACGTTATATTTTGAGGAGAAACTTCTTCTCAATCTTAAGAGTCAAACATTCCTCTTTGTATGTTATTTAAGAAAGAAAAAGACTCCGACTTTTCTTTACCTTTTATCTCGTGGATGTCGAATTCAATACCAAATTAGGTTGCCCATTGTGTGGCTTTGTCAAACTCCTCCTCTCCTTAGTGTAAAAATGTCGATGTATATATATACACACACACACAAGGGAAATGATTTTTACACTCTCTTAAAAGCAAAATCAATGAATAGAATTAAATTGAGGAGTGAGGGAGGAAAAAAATAGGAGTGTAAATATCAGTTCCGGTTTCTAATTGAGTCCATGTACTTGACATGCGAAGCCAAGTATATGTCTAATGGGGAGAGTTTTATTTTTATCCTATACGATAATATCTATACTAAGAGCTGGGGGAGTGAGCTAAGCCTTACAATGAGCTAGCCATAATAATTTGGTTTGAATTCTTCTTTGACGAGAATCGAACTTAAGACTTCTCACGTAAAGAGAAATACTAATAAATTATAGTGTTAAGTGGCTGGGAGGACGTTTTTTTTAGAGACGAGGGGAGATACTTGGTTGTCCCGAGGAAAGATATGTCTTTCTGATGACACTCATTACGTTATTAGAAAGAAAAGGATATGTCCTAATTAACTCTCAACCTTATATATCAAAACACAAAAATAATTTGTTATAAAAAAACACTTGGCATTGTATAAAGAAGTCGTGTTTTGTATACTTGTAATGACAATCTTTATCTATTTTCCCCATTGCAGGAGCTTTAATATGGAATAGATGCGTAGATTTATGTAGTCCCTTATGTCAATGTATGGCTCAAAGTATATGTTTTTGTGGGGAGTAGCTTATATGGCAAGGATACACTATCAAATGGGGTCTTATGTTAATGATTTAAAGACATGTATCACATGTTCTTATATTATTGATATAAACGTCACTTACTCATTGTAGTGGTCTACCTGTGTCATATCTTTCTCCTTTTTGTGACCTATGTAAGAAGAAATTTGAATGTCCGAAATTATCGGACTAGCTGATTGCGCTGCATACTCACACCAGTGGTAGGCTTCGTTAAATGATCAGCTAACAAACTCAACAATTTTTTATTTTATTTTATTTTAATTTTTAGGAAACCTCGACGGTACGAGGGAAATTGTATTGATAATGAAAAAAGAAGTTATACCTAGTCAAGGGGAACATCAACCTTATCCCTCATAAAACAGAGATAACAAAAAAAGGGGGGACATAAACCGTACAGTTTTAGAAACTAAAACAAGAGAGATATAAAGAAAAAAGGGAGGGGGGACATGAAACCTAACCCCTCTAAAACCAAACCTAAAGGTCTAAACCTGCAAAACAAGTTGAGTAACACCTCAAAGTTAGGGAAAAAAAGAAAGTAAGACAAACCTAGATGCCAAGATGCACATTAATTTGAGAAGCGGTAACAAGGCAAGCCAACATAGTTTGAAAACAATGCAGCATGAGCCGTTGGGGGAGGAGAATCATGCCAAGTTAAAGTTGGAGAAGACAAGCATTGTCCGCAACAAAATTTTCCTCCCAATACATGTGAGATGAGTAAAAAGTCATTTTCTGAATGCGGTCCAAACAAATAGACCATTGCATACGAAGAGACCATGGAGGATCAAAATCAGACGATTGAAAAGCAAAAATAACACTAGCGCTGTCACTTTCCAACCAAAGTCAATGCTAACCCAGTTGATATGCAAACTCTACAGCAATAATAATTGCAGATAATTCTGCAAAAAAAGAGTTGTGATAACCAATCCATTAGCAGAAACCACCAAGAAAATGATCATGGCAATTCCTGAAAACTCCTCCACAAGCAGCAGGACTGGGATTTCCTTTAGATAAACCATCTGTATTAAGTTTAATCCAAGGAAATCAAGGAGGAGACCAAAGGACAGGAAGAATACTAGGCACCTTGTGAGAGATAGGTCAGATCCCCATTGAAGAGATGATTCGAGCGTCAAAACCTTGAGAGTAACCAGGAATAAACTTTCCATCATGAAAAATCACAGAATTAATAGACATGCAGAGATGATGAAAATTGACTGGTTGGCCATAAAAAATAAACTTATTTTGAACCTTCCAAATAGCCGCAATAGTAGAAACCACCCTCGCAATATTATCCCTCAACAAAGATGTTGCCAGATTTTGTTTTGGCATCTAAACAGGTATTCGTCATTTCAACAAATCCATGCAGCTGTTGATTACTTAATTTGTTGACATACGTCCTTTTAATTTTCTGTTGAAAAAGAAGAGAAAAATAAAATCTAACTCTACAGATATCTGACAGATAGTGTAGAACTCAAGCACCCGTTATATTTCATATAAATCATCTCCGAACGAAGAATGTTCGAGAACAAAAGCCAAAAATATATGGAGAGAGAGAGAGAGAGGAAAACAGAACAGCTTCTAAGACGAAATATTGAAGATGGTAATTAGTTGGTTGATTATGTTAAGAGGGTTAATTAGTTGGTCATGTAAATATGATGAATATTGAGTTAATACTAACAACTACCCGCTTATAGCTGAAGATTAAAAATTAAGATTAACAAACACCCTCAAATAATAACAATAATTGGAGAGGACACCTTATATAAATTGATATCTACACCTTACGTTACAACTAAGCGACCTTGTCACAGTTTTCTTTCTTTTTTGCTCTATTTAATTAGATCAATACTGCAAGAGAAAGAACAAGCGAGTTGTCAGCGTCGTATTATTTATTAGCCAGTTAACATCAATTTTACTCAGACAAGTATGAATGAACAACCAAGCGTGCATGCGCTACCACCAGCGATTGCAAAAGGTACTTCATTTCAGGAAGGTACTTGGGAGATATGTTATAACATGACAGTGTACAAGACAGGAGAGATATGGCGTGTGCAGAGTACATTTTTCAGATCTGTTCCGATGATCATTGTCCAACTGATCGCCGCCATGTCCATCACTCGCCTTCTTTATCATCTCTTCAAGCCCTTGCACCAACCTCGTATTGTCTCCGATATTCTTGTGAGTTCTACGGTTCATGTCCCTATTAATTAATTCATTAATCTGCTATTCCTATTAAGCAGGATAAATATTCTTTCCATATTTCTTAATTACAAGGCCTAGGCCCTAACTCCAAGAACTCATGATTTGAAATTTACAATACAAGTTCAATAGGCTTTTCAGGTCAAAATTGTGTTTTTTTAATATTTAATTATTTATGCTGCATACACCACCCATATAGAAATCCTTATTTAAAAATTACTTTTGCGTAAAAGTGCTTTTAGTAACAGAGCTTGAATTAGAAGCAATATGTTCGACGAAAAAAAAAAAAGCAATATGAAATGATTAATAAAAATGTAAGTGTTTTTTTAATACATAAGAGCTTTTAACTTATGGTCAGAACCTACATTTTTTTTACTTTTTTGGTAATATGGAGGTGTTTGTAGTTATTTTAATGCACTTTCAAACATGTTCTTACTCTTTTAATTCTTATTAAAGTTATTTAGATACAAAACTGACACACCATTAGCTACTGTATTAATTTTGTGTGTTCAAAATTATCGTATCTTAATTAGCAATATAGAGATTAGATTTTAAAGTTGAACTCTCCAGTTTCGGGGCTGCTATTCGAACTTGAGATTTGAATTTAAATTATAACATTAGCTTAATAAGGCTGTTAGCAAATTAGGTATTAGATTTAAGTTTTAACAATCGAGTTTCAGGCTGCTACCATACATATGAGAATTGAAAATTTGAACTCCTTGTGTTATATACCTGTCACAAATGGGCAGCATATATATGAATATATTTGTCACATATAGTGCATACTATAGTGGCGAAAAGTTATAATGTCTATACACTTTAGTGTAGATTAGATCACTACTGATCTTCTCCTCCTTATATTGAACAATTTAACTCGATAACATTATTGTTTATAAAAAAATATGACTAAATTATCATTTAATTACAGGGTGGCGTGATGTTGGGTCCGGCATTCGTTGGTACTATCATATTTGCTCTTCAATACGTAATCCCTTTCTTCAGCCTGGTCAACATAGAAACCGTGGCAAACTTAGGGCTTGGTTATCACATGTTCATCATGGGTTTAGAGCTTGAGTTTGTACCTATAATCCGGGCTGGAAAAAGGGCTCTTAGCGTTGCCGTAGTTGGCAGTCTCGTTTCCTTGATCTGGGGTTGGCTTTTATATCGCTTCGTACTCTTCAATGATTATGGTAGGGCACTGGCTGAGCAAATTGCCAACGACAACGGCTACGCCTTCTGGGGCATTGCCCTGGCCTCCACCAACTTCACCGACCTTGCCCAAGTCCTCGCCGACAAAAAGCTCCTCCACTCTGATTTCGGCCGCCTCGCCTTGTCCTCGGCGGTTATCTCCGACGTGTTATCCTGGCTTCTTCTCCTTGCGGGCATGACTTTCGCATATACTGACCAATCGATCGGGGCCATGAGCGCCGTGATATTCATACTACTATGCGTTTTTGTACTACGTCCGGCTATCCCGTGGTTCATCCGCAATACAACCACCGACAACGATAGCAGCGGATACAACGAGCAGCAAGTCCGCTTCATTCTGTCGGTGGTTGTGCTTTTCGGGTACGTAAGTGACAATTTTGGGTCGCACTCCATTTTGGGACCCTTTATGCTGGGAACCATTATTCCTAGTGGAGAGCTGAAGAAGGTCCTGGTTGACAGGATCCAAACCTTCGTGAGTCACCTTCTGATGCCTCTATACTTCTTAACCGTCGGGCTAAGAACTAATTTTAGCTATATTTTAACCAACGAAAATCCAAAGTTCACACTTGCAGATACTAACCTGTGGCGTGTCGTGGCGGTTGTCGTTCTTGCTAACATTCCGAAAATTTTGAGTAATTATATCATCGGCTTGATGTACAAAATGTCACGTGGAGATAGTTTTGCTCTTGGGATACTCATGAACACCAAAGGCTTAATGGGACTCATAATACTCGGCACTGGCAAGGACATAAAGGTACGTACAATTACATTGCATGCATGCATCACTTGAAATACTGTACCTGTTTATTTGCTTTTACTTATTCACAATAAATGACTGAGAGTATTGTTTTCTTATCAAATTTGATTATGTTGCTAAACAAATGCTTACGTCTAAAAATATAAATCTGAACCATGCACATTAAACAATACTTGATATCATCAACACTTTAGATAAATGAGTATCATAAAGTTTTTTTTTTCCACAAATAAAAGAAGTTTAGTGTGGTTAGCTCCTTGGTAGCAGTCTTGCAAAGTGTGTTACAAAATGTGCAATTAAGGGAACATTTTCCATTTATACTATTAGAACCATATGCTATACCTCTGAAGTCTGTTACTTACGTGCAAATATGGTCTAGGTCTTGGACAACCGAACGTTTGGAGTAATGATGATTGCGATGTGGTTAATGACGCTTCCGGTCGGACCCTTTCTAGCCCTCGTGTTCAAGCCCACCAAGAACACCGCAGAATACAAACTCAGGAACATACAAAGCGTAGGACCTGAGACGGAGCTAAAAATCCTTACTTGCACCCATACCTCAAGTAGCGTCTCCGGCATGATCGACCTCCTCGAGGCTTCAAATCCGACGAGACAATCCCCAATCTGCATCTTCGCCGTTCAACTTGTGGAGATCACAGACCATGGTTCGGCCATGCTCATCGTGCAGGAAGTTTGCAAAGAAAACTCTAACCGAAGCAACCAGATGCAACCCGAGTACATCATGTCCGAAAATCGATTCGAAAAATACGCGAAGAATAGAGGAAACGTTTCTATCCAAACACTCACAGCCTTTTCTTCCTACAACACCATGCATGAATACATATGCAATCTGGCCAACGAGAAGTTCATCAACATTATTATAACCCCATTCCACAATCAATTTTCCATTGACGGAACCATGGAGGATACCAACCCTAATTTGAAGGGGGTCAACAACAACTTGATAAAAAATTCGCCGTGCACGGTGGGTATTTTCGTTGATCGTGGGCTTAGTGTGTCCCAAATTAGCGAGTCCAGAAATGGCAGCGGTTCCTCCCCAGGGTACCATCTATTCGCCATGTTTTTCTTTGGAGGACCAGATGACCGCGAGGCATTAACGTATGCATGGAGGATGGCCGGGCATCCTCGGGTTAATCTAAGGGTTGTCCGGTTTATTGTGGTCCCAAGTAATGCAACATCAGGCAAATTCACATGCGATGACCAGAACGACAACGACGGGGACATCGATCAAGCGGTAAATAGTCGGATGCAGAAGCATCTCGACGACACGTGCATGGATGAGTTTAGGCTTAAGTCGATGCACAATCGCAGCACACAATTCGTGGAGGAGATTGTGAAGAGCTGGGAAGAAACTGTAAATATTGTAAGGGGCCTGGAGAGTGAATATGATCTGTACTTAGTGGGAAGAAGATACGAAAGCTCATCCCCAGCGTGGTCGTTATTGGATTATTGCAGCGATTACGACGAACTGGGACCTCTTGGGGACTTATTAGTTTCTTCAACCTTTAATCCATCCGTTCTTATTGTGCAGCAGGGTACCCTTGTGGATAAACACCGGTGTGACTGAAGGTTGGGAGCATGACCCTTCTTTGGCAAACCCATAGTTTGATCTATTTGTTTGCAAACGTATGAGAATTACCACTCTCAGATCATTTCCTTTTTTGTAAAGAACTTCATGAACCCGCCAAAAACTTGTGTGGGTCTCAACGTGCCACAGACATTGCCTAATGGCATTACTACTCAATCAAAATTTGACTCATGGTAAGATTTAACCACAATTTCCCATTTACATAAAAAAACTGAAAAATATTATGAGTTGGAATGAATCGGGAACCAAATCCTCGTAGAGAATTTCAATGTCTACATGAAATATCTGTAGTTGTGACAAACCTGCGGCTACAGCGGGTCAAGGTTTTGTCTACCAGCTTACACATATGACATCACATGTGAATCTCAAATTCTCAATTAAATGTTACTTTTGACTATACAAAATTGAAAAAAATAGATTACACTCAAACAACAGCAGCAGCAGTAGCAAATCCTTATCTCACTAAGTGGAGTCGGTTGTATGAATCTTCGCACGCTACTGCGCTCGGTCTTGCGCCAAGTCTTCCGTTAGCTCCAAATACTTCATGTCTAGATTACACTTCGTGGTATATGAATATATATAAACTAGGTCACACTAAGAAGAAGGAACAGCTGAGCCAATCTTGGAAACGAGACCTTACTTTACACTTCCACACTGGCTTGATTATCGTCCATTCCTGGGGGGGACAACGGTGGAACAGCCACTTCTTGAAATTCAGCAGCTTTGATATCCAATGCCTTCCTGGCGGTAGCCTTACTCTCTCTGCTTCTACCAATCTTCCTCGACGACGGGAGGGATTCGGAGGTAGCAGCTCTTGAGGAGTTACTACTATCAATTGTCAACAAAAACTTTTCTTTTGAGAGAGTTGTTGGGGCAGACGCAATAACTGAGCTGAAGACTCCCGACTCCCTTAGTCCTTGTATTATGGCCTGAAATGACAATAAGTGATGGGTTAAATGCTACAGAATGAGTTTAATCCAGATCGGGAGAAAGTATCTGTTGACCGGGTGGAAGTAGAAATGTAATTAACTCTAGGTTTTGAGGTTGTCAATACTTTCATGAAAATCATTTACTAAATACATTATTTAAATGAGTTGATCAGCTTACCATGGGAGCATATATCCGAGTCAAAATGCCTTTTCTCAAAAGTTTTAGTTTTACTTCTTTGTCATCCCATACAATGTGTTCATGGTACCTAGAACAAAAGCCAAGCGCAAACTTAATTCACAATAAAGGATTGAAAAGGGAAAAAGAAAGAGAAACAAAGTTAATTCCCAAGGTTCTCTCATTAATGTACAGCATTTGAATCATCATGTTTCAAATTCTATAGTTAAGGAGGATCAAGATAAATGTAATAACTTGTAAAGAAAACCTCACCATTTCTGCATTTCCTCCTTAGTTGCGGTTGACGCAATTATGAATGCCTGCAATGCTAAATGTTGTCAGTGTATGAAAGAGTTAGCGAGAAGAGATGCAATGAAAAAACAAGTTCAAGAGCTGACAGCTATTACACCAGAAGAAAGGGGAAATGTAAGGGAAAAGACAATTCCACTGTTCTATTATAAATTTCGTAGAATATTAGCCAAATCTGCAAAATGGTGTTAGAAAACCACTTTGTCAGATATGCAGCACCTTAAGTTTACACTTGGAGTTGGAAAACAACAAAACTAATTCCCATTTAGATTTCCGAGTAACCTCTACCAAATTACCAATAGACCGATAGATATATATTTAAATTTTCAAGAATTCTATTTCTACCAACAACTATGCATGGCAGTCGCTACTGAATCCGAATATATCAAAATAGTCCCCATGAATGCTTTGAATGAAATAGCAAAACCTTTTTAAACTGACAACTTTTTCAAACCTAGTAGATTGCAATTCATTTGCAATATCATCTTTTCTTATTCCAACATTACCCTTCTCATCAGGAATTTCTTCCACACCAGTTGTACAAGTATCTTTAGTTTCTATATTCGGCCCTTTAAAGCTTCAGCACCTTACAGTCAAATTATAAAACTTTTTTCGGCATGGACCAACTAGGTAGCTTTACGAAGTTAACTGATCACATTATGTGCTCGATGATCTTGTTCCGGTAGTTAAAGAGTTTAGAAAGAACCAAAGAAAGAATTGAACTCACAGCTCTGTCAAAATCCAACATAAAGCATCTTTTGACATCTTCCTTTGTAGGCTTGCAGTGACACCGATCACGCCTAGATGTTAAGTCTGAAAATCTGGCATATGTGTAGTGCAGAACAGCAGCCTCTTCAAATTTGACCTCGCTAAAAGGAATTAGGATATATATGATTACCATGAGCAATAAGTTGAACCAAAAACACTGCTCATTCCAATATAAAATTACTGTACTTCGGAGTTTTCATATAATTGTGCCATCTGTGTGCACCATTAGGACGAAGATGATCTTGGACTCGAGCAGCTGATTTCCCATTTCCATAAGTCAAAAAGTAGTTTGGGTTACCATGAACTGACTCTTTATACATGCCAAAGTATGTGTCTTTTGGTACATGGTCATAATTCCTCTTGAACATGGAAACCTGATTGCATAGATACAAGAGCAAAGCATAAGACAAAGTACATGCATGCTAATTAAAATGTAAAAATTAAGATGAAGATGAAGTGAAGCATTTCCTAGAATTAACTGGGATTCATTTATTTAAGGTACTATTTCTCATTCTGGAAGTACAAACTAGTCAGAAGGTCCTTGTCTACGACCCGATTGCTCGCAACTACCATATCGTAATGCAGCACCATCTGTATCATAAATATTACTTACTCTAATCCCACACCTATGTACTTGCCTTTAAACAATTTGCCCTTATTCGAACTAACACATTAACTTCCTAGCTTTATGTCTAGATTTGAAAAGAGGCAGATCTTGGTAAAAGTTTAGAATAACATGTTTAATCGAATCCATTAATCCGGGATATATGCTTGTCACCGTCTGACAACCATATCCTTGATAGTTCAACAGGGCAACAATATACTGCTGCTTCCCAGCATGTTAAATCTAAAAGTATGGATAAGGTTACAAACTCATTATGGTATGCACGTTAAAGACCTTACCAAGCTGACTGCCCATATAGAATAACAAATATCAATCTCGTAATTCTTGAACTTTAGAGATCTAATGAAATTTATTGAAGCAATTAAGAAGCAATAATGATGGACAACAGAGGAAATTCACCTCAGTAAATGGTTCCTTAATATCATCCCGTTCAATACTGCTCTCCTACACAATACAAACAAGTTAGTTAAATCACCGAATAACATGCATCAGGGCTGAAACGGGTGCCAATACTAAAAAGTAACAAGACTAGCATGCTTAATCATGTTTACATGTACACAACTTAAAAGTAACTAAATATTTGACATACATAATTCGGGAAAATAACCATATCCACATTCCCAGGCACATCAAGCAGCAACTGCCTCAAAGAATACTCCTTGGCCCCAGCCGGGTGCAGTAACTCATCCGTGTCAAGATGAATTATCCAGTCCATTCCAGCATCCTAGTATTTTTATATGCAACAGAAAGTCCCAAGCAACAAAAAAGATTAATAAATTAAGAAAACCTATCACCATAAGGTAAAAATAACAACAGAGGCACCATTAAGATGAGAAGAATCTTCCGTACCCTTGCCAAGACTATAGCTATCTCCATATTGAGAGATTGCTTCACAAATAGCTCATAATTGCAAGGTTTGTAAAAGAAACTGGACAGCCAAGTCTCATTCCAAATCCGGCTGATCGCACCAAAAAACAAGAAACATAAAATACAAGTGATTTGAGCGAAAATGTATGTAGAATTATTTTAGAAGCGGACAACCGCACAACCGCCATTTGGACAGCTGTGCTTGCTGTTCAAACAGCACACTAACGTTGTGTTTCTTTTATTTAGTCTAGTTTACAATCCATTTCCCTACAAGGTTTATTAATTTTGTGTGGAGTCGATTTAAGGGCTTAGGCTTTAAATTTTAACTCCCCTTCACAAACTTAGTATCCCTGAAATCAGGAGTTAAAACCTAAGCCCTAAACAACTGTTTTTGCTCCTTTTTACTGTGAAAATGGAATGGCCAGAGGGGTCATTTGAATCATCCAGGTACCACATTGTGGTTACCATCCCAAAGCCGGATTGTGTGTGTATATAAATGTGTGTGTCTCTGTGTGTATCTACCAGTCTACTGAAAAAGGATAAACAAATAGAAGACGTTCAAGCATTTAGAGATGTTGATTACGTTAATCAAAATATCCAGGAGTATTAAGTCTTAAAAATACTAGAAGATTATATTTGTATTAAGCACAAGACATGCACCGAGTGTCAGCGGCAGAATCAACTCACCTTTTAGCTTGTTGTTCCTCAAGCTCTTTAGTTCTGTATATCACCTTTACTCCCTGACAAAGTACCACAAAAGTTATGCTCGACAATTTTCACCCTATTAAGCATTGTAAAAATGCATTTGCAAAAAAATTAAAAAATAAAATAAACAAAGAAAAAAACCACAGAAAGAAAAATAAAGGGGAGAAGAAGGCAACTGAACAGAACTTAGACAATCAGAGTTATGTATTATTTAACTTACAGGAATAGACTCCAGAACTTTTGATACTTCAGGAGATGCAGCCTTTCCTTCCACAAATAGGAAAAAGGTAATCACTCCAATAACCTTGTGATAAAACATCCAGGGCAAAATCTGTTCTAAACCAGCTGACGTACTTGTAGTAATACATATCTGCACAAAACTCTTACTTAATAAGAAATGAAAAATTCATTCCACCAAAATGCATGTTGTCCTGATATTAGTATGCAGCACTCATTACCTAACAAGCTATCACCGATCAACCAAACAGTTGACTTACATAATTTTTTTTCTATAAACGATGAAACCGGACCTCGCATTATATGCAGAGCATCACACTTGTTAAAAAGGATTGGAAGGGGGATATTTCTCAAAATATAACACAATTAGAACAGGAAGATTTAAATGATATGTAGCTCACACAATCAAGTTCCACTACCCAGCAAATTACTCTGAATACTGGTGTGATAAAGTCTGATAAGTAAATGGTGGTGTTATCATATTTTCTCACTGCAATCACAGGTCGTTAATGAAACAATCGTATTATGTTGATCTATTGGACAACCAAGCCCCTCATGCATAAACACTAGACCATACATAACACTCATGTAGCTGTGCAGAATCACTTGAGTTGCCATTGTCAATGTTTGATCTAGAGCAGGGACTCCATGGGTTTAATACTTATAATTCGTAGCAGAAGATTGCTCCTTCACAAGTATAAAGCATATTGCATAGTGTATTGCATTAACAAGTCTATTAGGAAAGCAAGGTTGGATATTGCCAGAAGCAGGATGAAGTTGGTTCACATTACACAGATCAATGAGACGGCATTTTTGCTCACCACACCATTAATTCCCTATAGACGAGTTTAACTAAATTTCGAGATTCGTTATAGATTTGTAAGCAAAAATGCACAGCATTTGATATGGAGTGCACAGTACATGTATAAACAGCCTCAAAGCCATAAACTTCAATCCACAAATGGGAAATCCAGATACAGATCCACACGACCACTGAGAAATTTCAAATTTTCAAATACAGCAGTAAAAACCCACTAAACCCAAATCTACAACAAGCACAACCCAGAACCAGATCAACCTTAAATCCATGAAAGCAAGAAAAAAAATCATACCTTTGGTCGTAAATTGGATGCAGAATCAAACTTCCAATTCTGATAGTAGGGAATCGAAGGCGAAGCTGAACGGCCGAGATTGAAGCAATCGGAGGACGAGGAGTGGACGACGGCGGAGGAAAGAGGAGAGGCGTCCATGCCAGGGAAGAGGTGGTGGGAACCGGGAGGAGACCAGCGAGTGGTGGGGTCGGGAATGCCGCCACGCCATTGCAGGATGAAAGCTAAGGCAGCAAGAGAGAGGGGGAGGAGAGTGAGGAGGAGGAGGAGCTTCGATGTGAAGGTTTGAGGGGAGGAGGAGGAGGATGCTGGCGCTGAGCGGAGGGGGGCATGTAGGTGGTGGTGGTGGTGGTTGGTCATGGTCGTTTATGTCAGTTGTGAGAGTCGGGGATGGTCTTTCTTTACTCTGTCCGTTCCAAGCTTTGCCGAAGGGTAATATTATTTACGCACCTTTTTTTACCTTTTAAGCATTTTTATTAATTTTTATCTATTTTTTTTAACTCATTTAAAAATTCGACGATTAGAAATTGAAAGGTATGTGTGAAATATAAAAATAAATGTATGGATAGCACTACTCTTATTGTAGTCCTCTTGTGCAATTCGTGGTATTCCTTTTCCTTGAGAGGTGTTTTCTAAGTCGTTTTAGAAAATTTTGTGTTTATGATCGCAATCTGTCATATTATAAATTACTATATAAAAAAAAACATATTCGTATAATTCAATTAAAATAAAAATCATTTAATCAATTAATTGTTATCAAATATATAGACACTTCATGATATTAGATTTAATTTACATTTGTATTCTAAATTAGCATCTTGCTATATGCTATGTGTGCAATGCTCTTTGCTAAGTGTCCAATGCTCTTTTGCATTTTACTTTTTATTTTAAAAATTTTGATTTATTGATTACTTTTTCATACCTTGCTTTTAATCACACATAAACACTTACCAAAAGATTCATAAGCGGCATTGTCTTCAATAATTGTTGTTTGGACTCAACGATGAATGGAAGTTTGCAAGTACTTGAAAAGCTCACCGATATTACTTGAATTAAGAAATTTACTGGGACTTTCCATACGCATAAACAACATAAAAACTCCTATAAAATAAAATATAAAAAACACATATACAAAGAAAAGTCCAATTGAAAAAGTTAAAATTGAAATTCAAAAAAAAAAAAAAAGTAGCTTGCATTTTTTTTAAATTAAAAATTAAAAATATTTTTCAAGAGAATTGTTGTTGACACTTCAAAATTCGCATTTGGCATTCCAAACTTTCTATATTTATTAAAAAACAATACAAGGGTGAGAAATGAGATTTTTAAAATGTCAATAACAATTCAGTTTATAAAATAAAATTAAAAAAACACATATACAAAGAAAAGTCCAATTGAAAAAGTTAAAATTCAAATTCAAAATTAAAAAAAAAGGTAGCTTGCATTTTATATTTTTATTTTTATTTTTAAATTAAAAATTAAAAATATTTTTCAAGAGAATTGTTATTGATACTTCAAAATTCACGTTTGGCATTCCAAACTTTCTATATTTATAAAAAAAATACAAGAGTGAAAAATGAAATTTTTGAAATGCTAATAACAATTCAGTTTTTCAGAAGATATTTAGTTTTTTTTTAAAGTGAAAATTAAGCAATTATCAAACAAACCCTCAATAAGTAGTATAAATTTCAACATGTTTACTAAAAAAAATTCTAACAGGGGATGTGATATATTGTGACAACTCATCCCTAATTTTATGGTTTTATAAATTTTAAAAGAGTGATTTGATGAAAATTGCTCGAGACGCTCCTTAGCGTATTTCGACGCCCTGATTCCAAAACTGCACTCTGTTTTCCCAAATTTAATTGTCTTAGTGGAGTTTACTAATGGGTCCCAATATTATGCTTAAGTGCAATTACCATCGGAGAGTTGAGCTTTCTAACTTAAATGGATGTGACATTGTAAGTAACTATGAGTGGGTTTTTGCTTTTAAATAGTATATATTTATTTAGTTTCCATTTATACATTGAAAAAGAATTTCCTACGCATACCTAGATCAGACTAATGTTTATAAGAATTAGCAAAATGACGGAATTTACGAAATTATTCTGAATCATGTGGGATGCACTGGTATGCATACTATTGTGGGATGCCTTAATTAAATTTACGACTATGATGAAGGTTATGTTGACTATAATTATTGAATCACTATGGTATGACTATATTTATGTTATCTGTTCATCGTTTGCTGCACTGGTGTTATTACTCGTCCGGGCCAGGACCAATATTTCACGTGTATGTGCACATTTCACCGTATACTCACTTTGAATCCATTGTAGGTGTCAGTCTTGTCCTATATTGCTATAGGCAATTAGGACTTGTATGTACTGCGCATAGCGTCAGTCTTCACGTAATTGTAGTACTATATCGTATATCATTGTTACACCTAGTCATGTGTATGTTAGAATATCTCTGCATGAACTCGTGTGTTAGCATGTGTCGATGAGCACTCGATATGATATGTTTGCTTATGCAAGATTGTGTGATTACGGATGTCATGTGTCTACTTACGAAATATTATGCCGTACTGAATTCTTGAGATATTGTAGGCTACGGTAAGTATTTTCTTACTATACGTAGTATGTATATTTTAGAAACTATACTTGTTTTACGGTAAGAGGTTATTATGTTTTCGAAAAGGTTTTTTTAACAAAGCTTTATTTTTAGGCCCACCCACCCTTGTTTTTCGCCACTCCATGTTTTAGTGTTGTGCTTTTATGTCGACGAGGATTTTTGGCAAATATTGGCATTGGAGATTACATTCGATGGTATAATTTTCATCCTACTTTACTGTATTTTACTTTTGCTCTGACATCATATGTAAAATGAGTTCGTTTCCACTCACAAACACATTCTTATATTTAGGCACTTTTAAGTTTAAATTTATTCACATTTTTCACATCACTACACTTTATGGCTTCGTCACTCTCTTGGTGTCGATCAACACAACTCGATTCGGAGTCCAGGTGGACATTCCGGGTTGGGGCGTGTCATTTATACACACTCTTATCCTTCTGTAACACCCCACATTGACCAACGGATAGAGGGTGATGTGCCTTATATGTACATGCTCACCTCCTTTAGCACCAGGCATTTTGGGAGCTCACTGGATTCGGGTTCCGTAGGAACTCCGAAGTTAAGCGAGAAAGGGGCCGGAGCATTCCCAAGATGGGTGACCCACTAGAAAGTTCTGCTCGAGTGAGTTCCCAAAAACAAAACCGTGATGGCGTGGTCAGGGCCCAAAGCAAATAATATCGTGCTACGACGGAGTTGAGTCAGGGATGTGGTGGAACTTGGGTCGGAATATGACAATTTGGTATCAAAACCACTATGCTGTGTGGTGCGAGTGTGTCGACGAGGACGTCGGACCCTTAAGGAGGGTGTATTGTAACATCCCACATCGACCAACAGAGAGGGTGATGTGCCTTATATGTACATGCTCACCTCCTTTAGCACAAGGCCATTTGGGAGTTCACTGGTTTCGGGTTTCGTAGGAACTCCGAAGTTAAGCGAGAAAGAGGCTAGAGCATTCCCAAGATGGGTGACCCACTGAGAAGTTCTGCTAGCATGAGTTTTCAGAAATAAAACCGTGAGGGTGTGGTCAGGGCCCAAAGCGGACAATATGGGATGTGGTGAAACCCAGGACGGGATGTGACACCTTCTCTTACACGCCCTTATTAATTTATAGTCATTAAATTAAATAAAACAACAAAAATAAATAAACAAAAATGAATAAGATATGTAAAAACTAAAAACGGTGTGTGAAAATCTTGATTTCCCTTCTAACAAAAGGCCTCATCAATAAAAATGTTTCTCATAAAATCAGGCACAAGCGGAAATAGGCAGCCTGCCGCCGCCCAACAAGTTCTCGAGACAATTTTCAAAATAACAAAAATATAATTAGATACACTAAATATCATAATATAAATAATTATAACTTTTTTAAAATATTAAATCCTTTGCTAAGTTTCACAGCAAAACAAACAACTCTCCAATTCCTCCTCTAAACCCAAGCATCTCTCTCTCTCTATCCCTTCCTCTCTGCAGTCGATGTTAGGGTTTGTTGAGCAGGTTCTTGAAGAGGGTTTCTTCGTAAATGCTCTCTCCCTTCACCAATCTCCATTTCCCTCTCATTTCATGTCTTCAGTCGACGTCCTTCTCTTCTCCTCTGCTCGTTCAGGGCCTCACAAAACCCTAATTCTTGGTTCCGGTTCTGACGTTTTCGGCATACTTGTTCCTCGCTCTCAATCTTCTCACACACAAATTTCCTGCTTTTCTTTGGGCGTTTCTGGGGTTTCCAATTCGGTTCTGCGCACGAAATGAGTGATTCTAAGGTGGGTTTTCTCTCTTTCACATTTGGCAAGTTTGTATTTTCGTTGTGATTTTCGTTCGAGGGGGATAATTTCGATGACTTTTTACTGGTTTTGTGAAGTTTAGTAGTTAGGCAGATCGAAAATTTGGGTATTGTAGCTGTGAATTACTTTATGCTTTGATGGAACTTTTATTGGTATGGTTAGTTTGTTCATGAATGTGAACTTTTTGGGTGTTTTTTTACCTAAGTGTAATAATGAAATGCATATGAATTTTGAGAATTTATTGTGATGGCAATGGCGACTCCGTTTCGAAAAAAGCTGTTGTATCTCACTGGACTCTGAGTTTGGTTTTGAGTAATAATGCAGAAGTAAAGTTGTTTTGATCATTTCTGTGTTAGCATCTGGTAGCCCGAGAGGTTGTACTGATTTACTGCTAGGTTAAAATGTGATTTTGAATACGATTTACTCTTTCATATGCTCTAAAACCTGCTGAATTTTGTTATTCCTCGTTTGCAGTTACTAGTGTTTGGGTCATTCTCTGAAGACGAGACCAGGTCGTTGCTGGTAAAGCAATCACCTGTCAAGGCTGAGAAGCCTGTGGAGAAGAATGTATTGCAGTTTGGGTCTATAAATTTTGTTTCTGCAAAATCTTCGGTTCAATTTAATGGCGAATCAAGCGGACAGAAAAGTTCTTTGAAGGCGCCCACCAAACTTCAGCCGTTAAGTTCACTTAAGCAGGATGAAGTTAAGGCTGTAAAAGCAGTAGATGGTAATTTACCTGCATCGTCAGCAACTCCGGCAGAGAATGGATGTACCGATAATTATGTTAATTGTTCTGCCCATAGTAATGGTGTTAAAGAGGTGACAACTGATAATGTTAACTTAACTTCCTTGCCTTTATCCAAGGAGGAAGGTGGTCTCTCCAATCAATTTTCAAGTCTGGAATTGCAGAATAGAGAGCAGAATGGCAGTGTTGATGACTTGTCTGTTTCTAAGATTAAGGGGGAACTACAGAAGAGTTCAAATGCGCCTGTTACAGTTTCTAAAAGCTTAT